ATACTAAAAATAAAAAAAAAAATAAAAGAAAAGGAAGGTGAGAATAGGGACTGGCCGGCTAGCGTGAGCAGCAGCATTTGGTGTGCCATATGGCGCACCACATTCTTGTGCCGACTGCTGGAGGCTGGAGAGAGAAATGTGCCGGTCATCGCCGGTGTCGCCAAGAAGAAGAGAAGCATTTTAGGGTTCAATTGGGTGAAGATTTAGGGCTTCTGTTGATTTTTTGGAGACGAGGGCCTCGATTGCAATTAGTGATATTAAGGCCGCCTGTTACAATTATGATAATGGGTATATTTGCAAATTTTAAACGGACGGCATGTCGGTAATTATTGAATTGGAAGTCCCCATTTTTAATTTTGAAATCAGGTTGAATTGCAATTTTCTAAAGGATTTTGATTGCAATTTTAAAATGGTTTTTAAAATTGAACTTCAAGAGTATTTGACCCAAAATATTAATTTTGACCCGATTAAAGTTTTATTTGAAATTGGCGGCTTTTTATATTTTCGTTAAAATTAGATTTTAACTTAAATATTATCATTTGACCCCAAATTGAATTTTATTTTATTTGGGAGTTATATTCTAATTTAAAATATTAACTCAATTTAAATTAGAGTTGGACTCTAATTTAATACTTAATTAAAATTTGACTTTAATTAATTATTCATCCAAATATGTTATTGAAGTTAGAATTTGATTCTAATTTGACATTTAATTAAAATTTGATTTAATTAAATTATCATGCCCTAAAATTTTATTTAAAATTAGAATTATATTCTAATTTGATGTTTAATTAAAATTTGATTTTAAGTAAACAAGTTCGCCCTAAAATAATGGAATTAGAGTTGGACTCTAATTTTGTTATTTAATAAAAATTTGATTTTAAATTAAATTGAACTGCCTTACCTTTTGAAATTAGAGTTGATCTCTAATTTGGTATTTAATTAAAATTTGATTTTAATTAAATCGTCCTGCCCTATAATTGTAGAATTAGAATTGGAATCTAATTCGGTATTGAATTAAAATTTGATTTTAATTAAATATGCTCGCTAATTAAATGAATTGATTTATATCATTAATTAATTATTTAATTGTTCCAATCCATTTTGTCTAAAATAGTTTAGACAACTTAGTTGCTAAAAACTTGAAGCGTGTTTGCATATAAAGTTAAATATTATATAGGCATACATTTATGTGATAAATGCATTATTATAGGATGATTATAGACTCGACCATGTGGATGTGTTGAATGATTTTTATTGTTGTTTTTTTGTGAGCATGCGAGCTCTTAATTGTTTTGGACTTACGAGTCTGTTATTATTATTATTGTGGGCCTATGAGCTCTTAATCATTTTGAACCTGCGAGTCTGTTATTGTTATCATTACTATGGGCTTGAAAGTCCAAATTTCATTTAGGCCTGCATGCTAACTAGTTTAGGATACATATTGCAACTAGACTAATTGAAGAAACAAGAAGAAGAGGAGACCATAGAAATAGTGCATTGATATTGATTCAATGCTATAGCTCCTAAGAATTGATCAACTAATCTTCCTTATGGCTCGAGAAGACTAGATAGTAAAAGTTCATAATTGTCCACACTATTATATTATGTTATATATATGTTTATTTGCCTGAAAAATGTAAAATAAAATATATATGATTGTTACGATGAGACCTTTGAACACAAAGTCCATCAATAAAATATTAAATCATGTTTATAATCGTCTTCCATCATTATAGTGAAAAATCAGAGTTTCAAGTCGTTTCAACTTATTAAGTACACTCAAGGTTGGTCTATTAGGGATATATTTGACACTATAAAATATTAGATATATCTGAATGATGGGTTCGACTTGATTAAAATTTATCTTTTGTTGAGTACACTCAAGGAGATAAATTTTAGCGGCATGTTAAGCTAACACATAAGATGTGTGAAGATAAGGAATTGTCAGCTTAATGATCTAAAAGTTATATGGAGATACAATTGATAATAATATCTACCCAAATATTATATTAAGGCTTGTTGAGTACACTCAAGGTCCTAGTATAACAGATGGGATCTCAGCCCATTGGGAGTCAAGTATGGACTCCATAAATTTATGCGAGATAGTCATAAATTTGAGTTAAACAGTGGGAGCATAATTAATTTTATAAAAGTCCATGTTAAATTAATTGATGTTTTTTGTATATTATTCTTTTTTTTTCGTCATTTATATTTATTGAATCGTAAGTAACCATGTGTATTTGGGTGGCATATTGGATGCCAACAATCAAACCAAATTAAATCTTCTTGATTGGCATAACAATTTGAGAATTTTTCTCAGACATGAGAAAATTGGTTGTCCTTAAGTAGCCCTTTTAGGATATATCTGGTGATAACTCAATTGAGGAAAAAGTGGCTACTATAATAATACAGTGATGACAATAATAGTGCAACATGTGTGATGTTTGCATTACCTCATCTGAGTTACAAAAGCAACTTAAGAGTATATATGATAACACATGATTTTTCATTTCAAAGAGTTGTATGATAATAATCATGTATGTAAAGATATGAGACTTCCAAGCAACTATACCGATGCGAAATGACAGAGGAAACTTCAATCAGTGCTCAGGTACTAAAGATGAGTGATATTGAGAAATGTCTCTGTTGAGTTCAATCATAAACCATGAACTAAGTAATGACTTGGTTCTTCAATCTATGTCAGATAAAGCTATTCACAACTAATTATAAATTTAACGTAAATAAGTTTGAATGCTCAATTATTGAGTTGCTTAACATGATTAAGACTGTTAAGCCCAACTAATTATGAAAAAAGGGTTTTCGACTTATATTAACTTATTTGTGGAGTGAAAGATTTGATCGATAATCGAGATTGACATACATCCATATCTCGTAATTGATCGGATCATATTGACGAAGGGATTATAGTTTCACGATAAACGAACGAGTTTGATTTTGTCATACCACGTGACATTTTCCCGTCACACGTACTACCCTGACACATTGTTAGATGTCAATCTGGGATGACGAGTGTGAATTGGTGATAAATTAAAAAGGTGTTTTAATTTATCAATTTTGACTAGATCAAAATAATATTTCACGTCGTTAGGCATCGTGATCAGGAACATGATGGATCACACACAAAAGAGAATTGGAAGATTGCAGTTTGTCAATTAATTAATTTAACTAGTTATTTATAGGTCTAAATTAATTAATTGGATTAATTAATTCACGGACCGAATTTAATTAAATTGTTTAATTAAATATTTGACCGGGTCAGGTCAAATCCGTTTGAGCTTATATAAATAACTGGTTAGGGTTTACAATTTTGTAAAGAATTCATTATTTTTGCTAGCACAAGAAGAAAACACTAATCCTACAATCTTGTTCTCTGTGTGGATCATCGTTGGAAGTTGGACAATTGGATAACTGTGGAAGACAGATCAAGGTTGCTGGAACCAAAAAAAATAATAATAATAAAAAAATAAAAAATAAAAAAAGGCAAAAAGTTTGCAGATTTCAAAAAATGTATAATCACTTTTATCACAATTTCTATCGAAACACAAAGAGATTCTTGGTGGAAATTAAAAAATTATTTTATTTTTTCGCTGCGCATAATAAGTACATTTCCAACAATTCCATACATCAAATTTAGAACGATCAGAGTTTGAAGGTTTTGGCAGACAAATCATCTCAGCAAATATCTATGGGAACATCACTAAACCACATTATTTTGTGTGGAAATCTTCATTATCTTGCATCAACATCTCATCTTTGCATTCCGGACTGTACAATTCTGACCAGGTTGAAGTATAAATTCACATTTGCTGTTACGAAGCAAAAAAGCATCATTAGAGACAGAATAAAGTGGTAAATTGTCTTTAAACCATTTGACGAGCTTGTCTAAATAGGTTAAAATGATCAACACTCCCAAGAGAAACAAGATAGAAACAAGATGTGGGGGAAGAATTAAAAGAGTACAAACAAGCGAGAATAGACATCATGATCCTTAAGACATAAGTATGTTTGAATAAAACTAAATGCGAAGCCATCATGCACTCACTAACTACGAATAATGTAAACTACTCGAAGAGACATTGCCGCTAAATCTCCAAAAGAGATATTCATTAGCTCGATTTTAAGAAGTTACAAAATTCTGACTCGTGATATTAGGATAACAATTTTTTCCCATGTTAAATTTGTTTCAATAGAATCAACGAAAAATCTCGAAAAATCTCAAAAAATCTATCGCTCAAATTCAAGCGGTTTGTTTTGATGGTTGAGGTTTATTTAGGACATGGTGTGGCTACTCAAGTGCAATGTTGAATTCATTTTCGGATTCTGTGCCTGCAATATGTCTCCACTCAGAAGAAATAGAAATGCTAGTCCAAATGAGACTGAAACTTTTTGGAAGTGAAGATGAAATTTGAAACAACATAGAAACAATCCAAGTTCTTATACGACATGAAATATATAGGATACAAATTCATCTTGGTATTGGAACAATTTCAGCAATCAATGGTCTCAATTGACTATGAATTTGCAAAAACACTTGGGGCTGCAGAATGAATTAGTTTTGAATAGTTTCGGAGCTAGCTTGGTTCGTTTTATAATGGGATTATAAACATCTAACCTTGAATACATTTTTTCAAAAATAAATATGTTCAATGTTTAGAGTCGAATTATATATGTATTTTTTTAGACATGATAAAATAATTTCATACCATGCACAATAACGATTGTTGTTAGTGATCATCATTGGTACTTTGATTGCTAATTATCGATGAAGAATCTTTTCGTTTTTTAATGTTTTGAAAATTGAACTTTGAGCCACGTCACGTGGATTCAGTCTAACTTTATAATGTTGTTGAAACATAACTATTTTATGTTAAAATGCTCTTTGTCCATCACTTATTAGAAGAATTGGACGATAATCTGTGTCACATTTAAATTCTATATGCTATGTGATTGTTTTTTCTAAGCGAATATTGACGAGTGACAGACGAAAACTAATTTTTGAAAGTTGAGTGATGATCGAGAAATTTTTTGAAGTCTAATGATTACTTGGTAATCTTTGAAATTGAAATTATCAATTAATTCTTTAATAACTTCTCATTTTATTTTTAATCCCTCGCTCACATTTTCACACTGAAATGCATGTCCACGCGCATTCCCGCCAAGTCCTATAGAGCAAACGCGTCTTCTCCGTGCGAGAGAGCGAGGGAGAGTGAACTTTGTTAGGGGCTAGAGGGATTTTCAATGGGTTCACCGAAGAAGAGGAGAGGCAAGAATAAAAGGGCTGAAACCGAAATCCCAGTTGAAGATGATAATAATTTTGATAATTATCGCACTTTCGAGACTCTCCTTAGAGCAATTCAATCCCCTCAGGTTCAAATTTTTCTCTTTGATTTGCAATCATTCTTCTGAATCAAACTCTTATTTCTCTCTCTTTTTTTTTTTTTTGCCTATAATTTAATTGTGTGTTTATGTATTACTTGAATGAATTGTTTGCCGACTTAGAATTTCACGAGGGCACATTTGATAATTAGTTCTGTAACTATTATTATTATTATTATTATTATTGTTATTTTATTTTATTTTTTTCCAAAAAAGTTGAGAGCTTTGAAAAAATTGGGAAGGAATTATGTTTTTATGACTGTAAATTTACATTTTTTGATAGAAGATAAAGGAAATAATGTTTCCATTATAGTATTACTTTGCATTTTGGAAGCGAACTGAGATTCGTTGTTGCTTCCCTACTGGAGCTTGGGCTATGTCGTAGTCCTTTTGTGGCGTTAAGTTTTCTTTTTTTCGTTTCTGTTGTTTTTCTTTGGGTTTGAAGCAGGAGTTCATTAAGATGACTTTAATTAGAGTGCAACAATTTGGTCTACGTTGAAAGCACCACGTTAAATGCTAGGACATTGACTTCTAAAAAAGATATCACAAGATACATATATATCTTTCAGTCTCCCCCCCTATTGATCTTTAGAAATCGGTTAATTCTTTGCTATATTTTGTCACGATACTGGTGCATTTATTTTCTGATTTATTATATTATATAAAAGAGGACTCGATATTTCAGGGGATAAAACCGCCGGTCTTGAAGAGTTTGTATCTTCTGCTTGTTCATTTGTCTTCAAACCCACAATGGAGTGTCAAATGTGCAGTTGGTTTGAATGAATATGACCTGGAAATTTACAATGAAGGGATCAAAGTGGCATTCGGAGATGTATGTAGACTCTCCGATGTACTATTTAAAGAGATAACTGAGAGGTATAAGCACTTCTTAGCTTTATGTGAAAACCTTGCAAGTAAGAATTTCGAAGAAGTTAGCTCCCACTCGGATTTGTTGGACGCCGCTGAAATAGTGAATTTGCTGTTGAGATGTTGCATAGTACTGTTGATTCTGCTTGCAGCCCAACAAAATCTTTTTCTGGAGAAAGGTCTCATTCTGTTAAGGATACTCAGACAATTGAGTTTACCAAATTCACTTGTGACAAAGGGGAAAAGTGCATTTAACTTTGAGAAGTCAGTTTCTCATCAGTGTGCTCGCGGTGAAAGTGACTGCAAAACATCCTATGCTGAAGACTTTACTGCCTCCTTTCACATTTTAGAACCATCTAATCTTTACCTCTTTTTCCAATCAGCAATGCTGGAGGTAATTTGATAGTCCACTTTTTTATGTTATTGACTTATCTATGACTTGCAATAGGGGAGTATCAGAAATTTCACGCTCATTGTTTTGCACTAATTGAAACCTTTGGAATTTTGCATTCATTGTTTCAATACTCATTTGGAGAAATGTTAAACTTGAATTCAAAGAGACATCTCGTTGGTAACTATCCTAATAGATCAGCAATCTAGATAATTTGAAAAAATGGTGAAGGCATATAATTTTTGGTTTAATTAGTTGTAATAAATTATTTTTTGTAACATTCTACAAAAAATTAGTTTTTGTAACGTTCTATGCTTGTGGCCTTTTCACTCACTCTCTCTCTCTCTCTGCTCCTCCCTCCCTCCTGAAGCATCTAATTAATCATCCTAATTAATCAGTATGGATAGGAAGAACTTTGAGGCTTTTATTGGATGTTGAAAAGAAAGAGAGAAAAACTTTTGTCTATCTCCAGGAAGGATTTTGTATATTCACATTGGGTTCTCTGTGATGATTATGTAGTTGTATTTCTACCTTTCTGTTACAGGAAGCTGCAGTTTCTTTCACAGAATTATCTTCTCAAAGATAGTTACACAAGCTTGAGAACTTCTTCTCTATGCTTTCCTGTGTGATTTCAAATGTTTGGTAGCCTTGGCCCTTGTTTTCATATTTTTAAGCATATCACATTTGTTTCTTGATATTTGTAATTTTAGTTATATCGTTAAGAATATTTCTGGAGTTCTCTTATATATATATTTCTGGAGTTCTCCCCATGTAATTTGTAAATTTCATTTGCACAGGTATTTCTAGACGAGCTTTTGATTCATGAGCAAATAAGAGGGTACTTTAAGCTGATTGATTCTGTTGCTTCTATTGGAGAAAAGCTGCTTATTTGTCATTCTACCCAGGGGGGTATTGGGTTTGTAATGGAAGTGATTTGTACTCATTTTTTAAAATCATTTTCTGATGAGCTTGCATTTGAAGATTTTCTCGTCCGATTATTTGTCATACATGCTAAGGAACTTAGATATTCGTACAGAGCTCCAGAAATAAGTCTGGTTACTGCAGTATCATTACTTCTCGATCCTATTATGGTTTCTGCTCCAAAATATATGCAAGCACATCTGATCTCTTTGGTTTCTGAAGCTAATTATATGATAGACATAGAGAGCCCGAAACCAGATCGTAAACTTTTGAACTGCTTCCTGTCAGTTTTTGAAAAATCAGTCATTTTGTACATGAAGCACATGTCTAGTTTGGAAATAGATGGCTATTCTCAAAGTGGTGTAGGTTGTGATAAATCAAATATATCGGATGAAAGACTTCATCCGTTGTTTGAATCCTATATATCGCCTGAGACAAAGCAGAAGATCGATACTCTAATATCCAGATTAGATGATTCATTGCTTCCAAAATTGCATGGCATTTTCATTAAAATGAAATCTGATCTTGTAAGTTCTGCCATGAAATTTGTGAAGGAGATGCAAACTGTTTTTGAGGTACCATGTCAAGATGATATTTTAGCTATCTTAAGTGGCTTAATTCTCAGAGCTTCTGATAGCTTCAATGACACTGCAATACATTCAATTGAGGGTACAAGTCTGCAGGATGTATATCTTCTTGCTTCCTTATTGAAGTTAATGAGCACTTCATTGAGGCAAGCCGTACGGTGTCTCAGACAAGGTGATGATTTATGTTGCGTGAAAACCTTGAAAGATTTTTCTTCATGTAAGGAGTATGATTTCATTATGGGTATAATCACTACTTTCAGAAACTTTGGCATTCAGTTACCCACCCAACAAGTTCTATTCGATGAGATGTCGAGCCATGTTACAAGGCATACAGTTTCTAAAATGATGTTTTTGCATTTTTCTGGCTTGATGTCATTGAGCTTTGTTAGTGGGCTTGATTGTTTAGTTAAGGGCTGCTTGTTGACAATTATTGCCATATTGAATTTATTTGTTTTCGAAGAGGGTAATTTAGATGCATTTCGGTCAGTGGTTGATTCCAATAAAGAATCCTTTTCATCTGGATTGCTCCATGTCAAATTCCAGGAGGTAATGTTCTCCTTTTTCCACCTCCACTCAATTTTCATAAAGGGTTCTCTGTTTCAGCATGTATAACTTTTTGTAAATGATGCAGACTGTAGTGGACCAAAACTCTAGCCTAGTGGTTGCATCAAAATTTCAGAAGATAAGGACCCTGTATTTGAGGTAATTAATGCTATGCATGCAGTATGTTGATTGCTGATGGATGTACCATTGTACCCCCAAAGTGTTCTTTTCAGCTTGTACCATGATGAACCTGCATTTGCATGGTCTTAAGTTCTCCATGTTGATTGCCCAAAACTAATAATACTTCCTACGTAGTATTGCAAGATACTGGATAGTAACATCCTTTTATTTTTTAATTCTATCTGGTATTGTCCATCCACCCTACTAAACAAGCCAGTACTGTCAATTGTGAATTTGTGACTAATCCTCACTTCTTTCTATGTAGTACGGATTGATGCCCAAACCCACCTTCCAAAAAAAAAAAAAACACCTATCGCTCTGTTAGAAATATCTTACCTTCAATCCTTATTCAGAGATTAGCCGCGCAATTCTTTGAAAGTGTGGGAACACTTTATAAGGAGCGAGTCCTACAGAAAGAGGGCCTTTGGTTCAATTTCACTCAGAACAATGACCTTATATCTTTCTATCCAATTCTTATAATTTTCATTTTGAACATTGACTCGATAGGAGTGGTCTTGAATCCACCGGAAATTCCCTTTGGCCCTACCATACTCTAGCTTGGTATTTTTCACCACCTATTCAGGGTTGAGTCTTTGGATTTGACACCGGACTTTGTCTCGTACAAATGCTTTACGTACAATCATTCTGGATAATGCTTGCATTTCTTTGCGGAACCAGTGTCAACCCTTGAAGCCTTTCGCAGCCTTTTTTTCTTAACGGCTTGGGCACGAGGCTTGGGTCGTTACAATATGTGATAGAAAGCTGTGAGAGGAGTTGTGCTAAAATAGTATTATCTGCTTTCGTCATGTCGATTCAAACTTGAATTACGAATTGCTTCTGTAAAACTGTATTCTTTATGTAGGAGAGGAAATTTTTGCTTTTTATTTTTCTTATTTATTTACTTATCAATTGTTCTTTTTTTTTTCATTAGGGATTCTCTGGCGAACAAAAGTAAAGAAACAGGAGACAAAAGTAAAGAAACAGGAGACTTAAGTGTACTGGATATGGAGGGTGCCATAGGGTTGGAAGAGGAAACAGAAGAAACAAGCAATGGGGAGATTTTTTTTAAGTGCTTGTTAAAGGAAGGAGAGAAAATGTCTGATTTTGACGATTTAGCTGATTTTGTTGAGTTCAAACAGGGAAAAGATTACTCAAATTGGTTAAGTAATCGTTACAGATATAGAAAGTGGAAATGTGAGAAAATGGCAGTGTTGAAGTGGAAGAAGAAGAAAAAAACTTGGAGAACCTTTAAAGGGAAGAAGATTGGAGTCGGTTTATTTTGACCACATGTATTCATATAGTGACTCAGACGGGTTCAAACAAAACACTGTTGATGATCCAACTTATAGTGTTGTGTCATTTTGGTTGGTCGAACTTTTTTGTGTTCCAAATTAGTTGCTAAACTTTCATTTTTCTTTCAGTCTAGAAACTCGTCTTCCTTCATCTGCTGAATTAAAGGAAATGATGGCAAGAAGCTGGTGCTCCGCAAGGTCAAGGTATTCATTCTTGCATTAAAACTTTCGGCTTTGATTCTGTTATTTTTTCTTTTTTCATTTTTTTATTCTTGCATTTCATTGGGTATATTATGCCCATGAATCGTGATCATTATAAATCTTCCCAAACATCAGAACTGTAGATTTCTGCGACATACATTGCAACAGAATTTAGATTTCATCTTGCTTTTGGGGCACTGATTTCATCTCATATTAAGCTTCATGTTAACAGCTTCAAGATTGAGACCGAAGGATCAAAGGGCGCCATGGAATTTTAGGCTTGCAATATGCAATTTAAGATAGTGATTCTTCAAGAATGCTGGACGTTCATAATACCATTACTTTTGGGTGCCTAAATGAAGTGATACAGCCAGTATATTGTAAATTTTGAGGATTTGGCCAGGAAGTGATTTGATGTTCATGAATGTATTTATTTTTTTTTATATTCCTGTTCAGAATTTAAATCGAATTATAGTGCTTTAGACTGTATTTCCAATGGTATATTTTTTTCTTTCTTTCTGTTTAGGAAAGCAAAAATTGATTTAGTTTACAAAAAGAGATTCTCATTTTGATTAAATTGAAAAAGTTCTTTTCTTTATGTGCAAACGACCATCTTGAAAATTGGAATGCTAACAAAAGGATTACTTTTGGCAATATCAAAAGTATTTCACATTCAATTGGTACGTTTAAAAAAAAAAAAAAAAAAAAAAAACTAGAAGTCATCGTTTACACTCACAATGTTATGATTCTAACAGGTCTAAATACATCAAATTCTGTAACTAACAGTACAATCTCAAGACCTTCAGTGCTCCCAATTTTGTGTGTAAAATAAGCAGACTTGGCGAATGGAGTGGCTATTCGAGGCCTTAACTCGTATTCATCTAAAGCGGCCTTATCACTGGATGGAAATGGTTCTGAAGAAAGGGTGAACATACTTATCGG